CCCTCCCTCCCTCCCTCCCTTCCTTCCTTCCTTCCTTCCTTCCTCTCTCCTTTCCTCTATTTTTGCAGTCTTTCCCCCAAATGCAATAACATCGTTGTTTAAATGGTTGTCATTTTAAAAGTACTAAACTATAAACAAGCATAAAGAAGAAAAACAAAAGTTCCGCCACCCGGAGGTCAACACCTGCTGATCTTGGACTGTGGTGTTCCATAAGGTGCCACCCACCTGCTTTCCCACAGGGGGTTGCTCTTTGCACGCTGATGTGTACCTGCCCTTTTTCTTAGCGTCAGGATTATTCTGGGGTCGTTAATATGCCACAAAGTTATCTCCTTTTCGGGGAATGTGGTTCTAGAAATGTTGACACATGTTCTTCATCATGAAACCACCCCCTGCCTCCTATGTCTCCACATCCTTCCTGTCCGTGGAAATAACCTAAATGCCCGACTGCAGCGGAGTCTCGTCTTTAAGGAATGACTGTGCCGTAAAGTGTTGAGCCAGGCCCCAGGGCTGGGCATGGGGTAGCTTCCCACTCTTCCTTCTGGTAAACAGTGCCCGGTGCTCCAGGGGGATGCTCCCTCGGTGCCGTGATGGGCTGGAAGGGGGGCCCAGCGCACCCCTCCATCTCACCAGGCCGCCCTCTCCCTCCCTCTCGCCTGGCCGTAGGGAACCGGCTGGACGAGGGCTCAGACGTGGAGTCGGAACCGGACCTCCCTCTGAAGCGCAAGCAGCGCCGCAGTCGGACCACGTTCACGGCCGAGCAGCTGGAGGAGCTGGAGAAGGCCTTCGAGAGGACGCACTACCCGGACATCTACACCCGCGAGGAGCTGGCACAGAGGACCAAGCTGACTGAGGCGCGCGTCCAGGTGAGGAGGCGTCTCGGGTTGGCACTGCGGCCCTAACCGAGAGGCTGGAGTTAAGGAAGTGGGGCGGCTAGGGTCTGAGGGCTCGCTGGGCCCCCGGGGAGCTCTGCAGCAAGTGGTCTGAGGACCGTGTAGACCAATAATGCCACCAGCAAGCGATGCAGAGGAAGTGGGCAGCAGGCGTTGGTTGACTGACTGACTGATGGAGGGGGAAGCCAGAAGCTGTGGCGAGGCCTGCTGACGTCTCTCCAGGCAACAAGTACTTTAAAGAAAAGATGAGCGGAGGGATGGAGGGAGAGAGGCAGAGGAAGAGAAGAGCTCAAGGGAGGGAGAAAGGAAAAGGGAAGGAGGGAGAAAAGAAGAAAGAGAGGGCCCTAACCGGTTTGGCTCAGTGGATGGAGCGTCAGCCTGCGGACTGAAGGGTCTCAGGTTCGATTCCGGTCAAGGGCATGTACCTTGGTTGCAGGCACAGCCCCAGGAGGGGGTGTGCAGGAGGCAGCTGATCGATGTTTCTCTCTCATCGATGATTCTAACTCTATCCTTCTTCCACCTCTCTTTTAAAAATCAATAAAATATATTTTTTTTAAAAAAAGAAAGAGAAGGTGGAAAGGAGGGAGGGAAGAAGAAGGAAGGAAAGAAAAAAGGAAGGAAGGGAGGAAGGAAGGGCAGTAGCTCAACTAGAAGAGAGGACTCAGAGAGAACAAAAATCCCCAAATCTCTGATGAGGAGAGAAAGTAGTTTGGAGGAAAATTTCTGAACAGACCTAGCTTCCTAAGATGGGTAATGAGTTTCCCGTTATGGGAAGCATGCAAGCAGACTGGGCAGCCATGGTGGGTTCCTGGTGGGTTAGAAACATCTGAAGAGGGTGGCTAACCCCCTTCGCACCCTTGAGTGTCAGGTCCCTAACCAGCAGGGGTGGAGGAGGGGGAGTGCAGAAAGAGCAGAGCCTACTGGGGTGCAGGCCTGTAGCGGGGTCGGGCTTGCCGCTGAGTGCAGCGAGTGTCCGCCTGCTGGGGAGGGCTCAGGCTGGGTGGTGGAGGAGGTCATGATGGACAGCTCCCGTGGGAACCATTCCTGGCCTGTCTTCTTCCTGAATCGGGGGCACAGTTTGGCAGAGGGGTCACCTCAAACTGTTCCCTGGGGGCACTTCCATCCAAGGCTAACCAGCCTTAGTTGGGCACCCACCTTGTGCCAGTCACAGGGCTTGGGCTTCTCGTGCATGACCTGGTGGAACCTCAGACCCCCTTGTCAGGGTTGGCATGGTCACCCCAAGCTGAGGGTACAGGAGCTGAGGCTGGGAGAAGTGGCATGCCCAGAGGCACAGAGCTGGACTGGGGCTGAGCTGGGCCTGGAGACCCCCAGAGACCAGGTTCTTATCATCCAGGAAGTAGAAACGGAGTCAGAGCTGGAATCTGAAAGCAATAGGGAAAGTTCTAGAAGCAAAGTGGCATTTAACCATTCCAGGAACCAATGTACCTCCCTCCACACCCCCACCCCCACTCCTGCGGTGGTGGGGGAGGGAGCTTGGCTGCCTTTGAGAGAGACCCAAGGGGCAGGGCAGGCGGCAGCAGCCAGCTCATCTCATCGCCTCCCCTCCTCTCGGGGTGATACCCGAGCCTGCCCCCGCGGCCTCCCTCCCCTCTGATCCTCCTGCAGCTGTTCTCCGGGCACATTCCTCGGTGCTTTCTCATTCCCACGTCTGGGGGCCACGGCTGCTTCCCACCACCTTGAAGCCTGGCCGCTGCTTGTAAAATCCCCTGGCTGTCAGGGCAGTGCTTTTATTGGCCCAGGGGACCCAGAAACAGGTGTCACTCAAGGTCCAGAGAGGGAGGGAGGGGGCTGGGAAGAGGGGGAACAGACAAACCCAGAGTGAGGGGCCCAGGCAGACATCCTCCACATGCTGACTCCCCTATCAGACTCTGGGTTCCCCTGGGCAGGGCGGGATCCCCCTCAGGCTGTGAGCTCCCAGCCTGAGAGCTTTCCCTGCAGATCACAGAACAAGAAATGCTTTTTTTTTTTTTTAAAGAATGAACAAAGGGTAACAAAACAAAACAAAACAAAAATGGAGACAGGAATGATGGGACATTTGGCCTGGAGAAGAGGACACTTGGAGGACATGGCTGCTCTGCTCTGAGAGCCCCCCAGGGCAGGACAAGGCTGGTCGGGAGATGTCCCAAGTCCCATATAAATGTCGGCAGAAGCAAGAGCATAGGACTGGGGGCCATAGGTCTAAGTTCCCCTGGGTTCCTGCCTATGATCAGCGGCAGCACCTTTCCTTTCCTGAGACTTAAGTTTCCATCTATAAATAAAGGAATTTAACGAAACGGTCACTAAGGCCCCCTTGAAGTTCCAGGATCCTGACCGACAATCAGAACTGTCTTGTGAGGTGATGAGATCCCCGTTACCTGAAGCAATCAAGCAGCAGTGCCACATTTTGTCTATCAGAGCCCCCGGAGAGGGTTTCTGCTGTGGGTAGTGTGGCAAGGAGCTCGAAGCCACCCGAGCACTGCTTCGGTTTTATGGCTCTAGACCAGTGGTTCTCAACCTTCCTAATGCCGCGACCCTTTCATACAGTTCCTCGTGTTGTGGTGACCCCCAATTTCATTGTTACAAATTGAACATAATGAAAGCATAGTGATTAATCACAAAAACAATATGTAATTATATATGTGTTTTCCGATGGTCTTAGGCGACCCCTGTGAAAGAAGGGGTCTTGACCCACAGGTTGAGAACCGCTGCTCTAGACTTTTGAGGTCTCGGTGTCTGATTCTAAGAGTCTATGGCTCAGGGATTTTGCAATCTTATGCCATTTTTTAGCTTAAATTTTATTTTTCAGTTACAATTTACACTCAATATTATTTTGTGTTAGTTTCAAGTGTGCAGCATAGTAGTTAGACAGTCTTATCCTTTACAAAGAATTTTCCCATATTTTCAGTCTCCACCTGGCACCATACATAGTTATCACAATATTATGGACTCTGATCCCTATGCTGAACTTTACGTCCCCGGGACTGTTTTGTAACCACCCATTTGTATTTCTTAATCCCTTCACCTTTTCACCCAGCCCCCCAACCCCCTCCCTTTGGCAACCAGTTTTCATGCCCTCTTCCCTCAGTGCCCTGAGAGATGGGTGGGAGAGTGGAGTGATTGAGTCGTCTCAGAGACAGAGGCCTCGGTGCGAATTCCAGCTCCATCAGTTACTCCCTTCGCTCTCAGGTCCCTCATCTGCAAAGTGGAGGTGAAATAATAGGGTCTGAGGATGAAATGACATGGAAATACACACACACACACACACACACACACACACACACACACTCACACACACACTTAGAAAGTGGCCAGCACACGAAAGTGCCATAAGTCGGGGTTCATTATGATAGTCCCCTGTCTCGGCCACTGTGAAGGGGGGGCGGTGGGGGAACGGGGTGTCAGGCAGGAGGACACATGCCTGGGGCCAGTAACCGCCTCTGGAGCAATCTTCATTAAACAGCTGGCGGCTGACCCCACCCTGGCGCACACCTTCCTTGGAGGCAAACAAATCTATTGTGTCCTGTTGCCAAGATCCCTGAGCCTGTGTTTCTTCTAGACCCCAAGGCCACCCCGAGCTGAATCGCATTTTGGGGGGTCTAGAGACTCTAGAGCAGCAGTTCTCAACGTGTGGGTCAAGACCCCTTTGGGGGTCGAACGACCCTTTCACAGGGGTCGCCTAAGACCATCGGAAAACACATATATAATTACATATTGTTTTTGTGATTAATCACTATGCTTTCATTATGTTCAATTTGTAACAATGCAATTGGGGGTCACCTCAACATGAGGAACTGTATGAAAGGGTCGCGGCATTAGGAAGGTTGAGAACCACTGCTCTAGATGGACTCGCTAATTATCAACTTAAACCAAATCTTTTCACAACACTAGATCCCATGTCTCATGCACTTCGATGCCAGGCACGATGCTCAACACTTTACATGCATTATCTTTACCATCCTCACTGTAATCCTAGGAGGGAGGGAGGGAGGGAGGATTAGTCTCCCCAGTCGGCAGGTGAGAAATCTGAGATTTAGCTAAGAGCAGTGACTTCCTGAGGACGCACTTCACAGGCAGCTGGGCTAGGACTTGAACCCAAGTCTGCCCATCATGTTCCTTTCATCTGTGCTGCATTGAGAAAGGGACCAGATGAAATATTCAGCTCAGGAAACAGGATGCCCCGGGGAGCCCTCAGTGCCCTGGGGAGGGGAGAAGTCGGGACTTCGGTTTTATTTGGGTGCCAGTTTTCACTCCTGACTTAGCGGCCCCAACTCCTTTCTCTGTGAAGCCTGTGCTAGTGAGAGCCGGCTGCTCTGGCCACCAGCTTAGAGAGCTGACCCCCGTTTCTCCCCTGGGAGGAAAGACAAGCGACACCAGGGACACATAAGACCCCTCCTTCCAGCTGGCATATCAGCAGGTGTGGTCTGGAGGTCAGGGAGGCTCAGTGATCCTATGCCAGGGAAGGTTGGGGTCTTCACCCTGCAAGGAGGGGCTCCCAATTGAGCCTGTGGCCCCAGGCCCAGCAAAGTCCTCTCTTCCTTCCCTTGTTCGTTCGTTCGTTCATTCATTCATTCATTCATGCAACAAGTATTGGGTGAGCACCTATGGGGCAGTGAGCAGTGAGCAAGGGCTGCAGGGCCTCTGCCCACAGAACCTGGAGCCGGAGGAACAAAGAGAAGCATCGTCAAAAAAACCCACAATAAATAGGAAAGCTGTGAGGAAACACACGTGAGTCTCTGAGAAACGGCGGCACCTGCTTGAACTTATCTTCCAGGCATGATTAAGGAATTGGAGTCGGAGGAGACGATTCAGCTGAGCCCGCAGGCGGAGGAGTCAGAGAGGGAACAGCATGTGCAAAGCTTAAAGGCAGAGATGAGCCCCTTAGAGCAGCCCCTGTTTGGTGCACTCATTCTCTTCCTCTGGCCCGGCCCAGATCTTGTTGCACAAATTCGGATAAGTGGGTTCTGGAAAGTCAGGCTGATTTAAGTTGGAGCCTTAGATGCACCTGTGTGGTCTCGGCAAGTTATTTGACCTCGGTGAGCCTCCGTTTTCCCTCCTGTGCAATGGGAATAGGAGGACGTGGCTCGCGGTTCCGTGCACGGACAGACCGGTGAAGCGCCAGCACAGGGCTTGGAGGAGAGGGAGTCGCAAAGATGTTGGGTTAGTTTTCCACTGATGCCTATTTCACAAACCCCCGTGACTGTGGGAGGTGGTTTCCCCAGCCAAGGGGGCCTGTGCCGGAGAAGCAAAGCGGGGCCTCAGGCTCTGGACAGAGAACTGGTTTTCATCTGGTCTCATCCTGGATTCTGGTGGGTTCTGGGTGCGTGGCTTCCCCCTTGGGGGCTTCCTGGAGGAGGTGGGAGCTGGGTGTGTGGGAACAAGGACAGTCTACCCACTGCCATCCCTCTGGGCAGGAGCAGCTGCAATGGAAAGAGCACTGCACCCAGAGTCACATAGCCTGTCACGTGGGCAAGTCACTCCCTCTCTCTGGGTCTCAGTTTGCTCATCTGTAAAATGGGGGTAATGATCATAAGCCTCTCTGGGAGGCCATGAGGACAGAATGGGACCGTGCCTATGACAGCTCTCTGCAAACTGTCCCCAGCACAGAAAGGTGGGGATGTCCTCCTGGGGGAGGATGCTGCCTGGACGGAGGGTGACAGCGGAGGCGGGAGGGGGAGACGGTCGGGGTGGCCTTGTTCTAGCTAAGTCTCAGCTCTCCGCCAGGAGCCAGGCTGAGGGCTCCATTCTCCACTCTCGACCTCACAGGTCTGGTTCAGTAACCGCCGTGCGCGTTGGCGTAAGCAGGCAGGAGCCAATCAGCTGGCAGCATTCAACCACCTTCTGCCCGGGGGCTTTCCGCCCACCGGCATGCCCACGCTGCCCCCCTACCAGCTGCCGGATTCCACCTACCCCACCACCACCATTTCCCAAGGTGAGTGCCCGCGCCCCGTCCTGGCATCTTAGCCGTGCCCTTTGGCCCTCTCTCCTCCGCCCACCCTTTCCTTCCTTAACAAAGAAAGAATAACAAGGGTTGTACAGTCATGACCACTTGCCAGCTTCCACAAGGGCAGACAATTAAGACCAAAAGGTGAGGTCCTGCTCTTGAACTTCTTGGCTCTGCCACGGAGCATCCAGTGAGGATTAACAGGGTCACCTCCAGGTTCACACTGAGAGCAGAGCTTCTCAACCTGTTAAGTCGCAGGAATCTCCTGGGTCTTCTTATTAAGATGCAGAAGAGAAGGTGAGCTTTGCAGGAGGAGAAAGGTTCCTTCCCTCCCTCCTTGGATCCTGTCTCTGCTTCTGCCTTCCCCTTGCCGCCGCCCCCCCCGCCCCCGCCGCCAGCACACAGTAGAAATCCCACGACCTGAGATCTGCTTCATGAAGTCCCGGTAGCCTCCTCTTAAAGGGCTGGCAGGCTGGGGGTCTGGAGGCTGAGGAGAGAAGCAGGGGACCTTCTCAAGTTCTTGATGAGAAACTAAACCTTTGCCAAGGATGATGATCCCGTCCTCCCGTCCGCTGGAAGGCTGCACGGAGGGGCTCTGACAGAGCGGAATTGCAGCCGAGCCGCTAGGAGCAGATACAGTGGTGCAAACCTTGACCACACCGCTCACTAGCCTGTCACCTCGCACAAGTGCCCCAGCCCCACCGAGCCTCAGTTTCCTCACCTATAAAATGGGCACCATAGTCTTGCTTCATACCCTTAGTGTTTGTAAACGCACCTGGCAGGTGGTTGCTACTTGAAAAAATGCTATCAGGACATGCCTGGATAGGTTAACAGAGGTCTGACTCAGTCCAGAGGAGTTACTGAGCGAGCACCCACTGTGTGCCAGGCGCTGGGCAGCAGGGCCGGTGCAGCCGCCTAGAGGTGGCCTGGCAAGTTGGTTGACTGTCTGTGCAGATTGCCCAGTCCCTAGTGCCCTGCCCAGAAGCCAGCTTGTCCCCTTTCAAGAGAAGATTCATTCCGTTGGATGGGCACTGGGAGGAGGAGGCTCACAG